GAACTATAGATCTCAAGCCTAATGAATATTAAGGTCAGGCGAAGTTGATGAACGATGGAAGGTGTCAAACGGAATCGATGCGACAAGGGAATCCATGAGGCAATGACGCACACACACACACACACGCACACACATGGGTACAAACTGATTTCTCATCCTGTTTGTCTTTGTGTCCTCGGGCAAAAGCTTTATGATTGGTTGATGTGTTTATTTATTTCACCCCCAACATGAATGAGTTATACTGAGCGTTTTTTTGACAATCCTCGAAATGCTATTCTCAATGATTTGGGAGTCAGTCGAGGTAAATTTTGATCAAGTATTTACTCGTCCCATGGTTAGTTATTATAGCAACTGCATGTGCTTGTTCCACGACGGCTGGATACGGATGGGCATGCATGTACAATACACCAGGGAACTAATGTTAACAATGTCATGTTCCCAGCCGTTTATCACCGTCGAGCATGGTCCTTGTGGCCTTGTTTTAATGTGTGCTATAGGTGGAGTGTTAGCATGAATACGATGTATAAGGTATCCCTCGCTCAACCCACTCCATCTCACTCCACCCTAACATTCACTATAGTCGAGCTTTCCATTCACTTAGCGGCGACCATAGATTTGGCGGCCACTTTCTTCTTCGCATAGCCTCGTAAATGTTTGGTTTGGTTGGTCTGGATTTCGATGGTTGATAGTGGTGGTGGTTGTTCGTCGTTCGAAGTTGTTTGCCCTACGTTGCACATTCGTCTTCGTTTCATCTGTTCATCTCTCATTTTCGGTCGAATTGGTCTTCCTTTAGTGACCTTTACACGGAGTCCTAGAAACGCATACACGTGCACGCACGCGCAGGTAAGCACACATCCTCGGCACAGAAACATGCACACACTTACGGAGCACATCCAAGATACTTAATTCACTAAGGGTTTGGGCTGAAAGTGGGCACGTTTGACCTGTCATACATAGATCATTCTGTTCCATGACGATGATTTCGACCATGTTGGTCGTACCCAGCACCTGTTTTCCTCATAAAAACCGCTTGCTTGTCTTTCACGGATGCATTGGCACAGGAACTCGTAATCCGTACTTACTTGTAAGCCTCTATTTTTGACCAGTTTTCCAGAACTGTAAGTAGTTATTGTACTTGGGAACCGGTGTTTAGCACAATAAGCCATTCATCTCGAATATACACGTGACACGAACTCCTTACACTTTCCGTTATTCCCTGTACACACACACATTCACATTGTTGATAGTGTGCGCTGATCGACCATAACATTTCATAAGTTATGCTCCAAATGGTGATAAATTTCGGGAAACCAAGGGCCGTGCACAAATCGTGAACTATGCGTATAACATACAGAAATGCAACTAAACGAGCGTTGACCCGAATAGACGCAGCTACTTTACAGGTCACCGTGAAGCTGATCTGTTCCGTTGTTGTTGTTCCTTGTTCACATGCTTATGTCTCTGTTTACGCCCGATATAAGGCGGAAATTGGCTGTGGTGTTGCCTTTATGCGGAATCCTATAGGGAAATATGAGCAACCACTGGTGTATCATTCACTGCAAGGTTGATTCTGACCAGCGGCGTTACCCGACCTTTCTCACAACGTGGCATCTGAAAAATGTGAATCGGCTTCGTTCACCCTGCTGCAATTTGATTGTCCAATAAAGATGCAGGATGTAATAAAAAAATGGAACCTATGTGTTTGTAAAAACGATGGGAGCGAATGAGTTCCTGCACATTACATGTACAAGGTGTGTATGTGTGTGTGTGTGTGTGTGTGTGTGTGCGCGCGCTCCCTGACCAATATAACGTGACCTCTGAGAGTTGTGGATGCTGTTATAACCTACTCCAAGGGGTAGTCGTTTGTTTGCTTGTGTGTGTTTACATGCGCGGTTCACCGGTCATTCGACGCGTCAGGTTGGTGCCGCTGATTAATAGGGGTCTTATCCTGTTGGTAGATATTTGTTCTCGAAGGCCTATGTGCACACGTTCGTGTGGCCAAGTGCCGTAATCGGGGTAAACATCCGGTTGTCTCCTTCGGTTCACGCGGGTTCATCATGGCAACGGCGGTTTCGCCATTGATGAGCCCCACACGTATATAAAGGTCTTGATGAAATCAGACCAGATTACCATAGCCTGGTTAAAAATAGATGGTGGTAGTTGTTTGTGTGTGTGTGTGTGGCGCCTGAATGATAATGTAGCTCACGTGAATCCGATTGAATCTACCCACTACCATCAGTCGGATTAAATGGAAGTCTGTTGTTAGGGCCTTCACACATTGGTACATAACTTACGCCAGACGGGAAGTTCATTTCCATCATAATTCACAAATTTTCGCGTGTTCCAACTTATTTCTTATGTGTAATGTAGTTTCCAAGTATGAAGTATTTTCAGTTGTTTGTTATCAGTTACTTATAAGTCAGCTTCCTAGATCTCATCATGCATTATGATCCCTTCTTTGAGTAAATGAGTGACGCGCACTAGGCTTTTCGGTCCAGGGTTCAAACTCTACTACCACCACCCAACTTTCGTAGTGGACGTCCGGCTCAAAACCACACAACATATTGAGGGGTCTTATGTGGCTTACCAATCAGGGTAATTTGGAGTCTGGATTTCCGTTTCCCCACAAGTGAGCACTGGGGTCTATGAAGATTAGGTCTAATGCTGTTCATTCAATAACGCTGTGTCATGAGAGGTTGGAGTTCGGTTACTATCTGATGAATTCCTGTTTGCTCAATTATTGTAATGAACGGGTACTGAGTCAGGCAATGTTGACAGTCACAGATTGCCAGTACCTGCAGCTTAGGTGGTGGTGGTGGTGGTGGTGTGTGTGTGTGTGTGTGTATGGAACCAATTATCATTTGCCTCCGAGTGTGAATCGTAGTCAGCTCTTGAGGTGTGCTATGTCAGTGATCCCTGACAGGTTGAACTAAGCAACTGAGTGTTACTTCTATGGAGCATTCCTATGACGAGCGATGCGTCCAGTCCGTACGATCAATTTGTACCTGCCAGAAGCATGCACTTTTGTGTCTCGTCCATTTTCTTTCGAACTGTCTACTACAATTTTAGTCCTTAAGCAAATGTCTTTCTGCTTATCCCCCGGTGATGTCAGTTTTTTCCGAAGAAAAATGTCTTTCTGCTTTGCAGCGCCAAACATACGAACAATATTGTCAAACTGTGATTATGACGTAACAGATATTATTCTCGTCCGTGAGAATTAGTAGCATCACTTTTCCGGGCAAAATTACGGAACATTGATTAGTTTTGTAAATGGGATTCCCCAGAGTGAGCATCGCAAGCGCTTCGTGCTTCAAATCTCGGTCAATCTGATTAGTTCGAAATGTGAACAATGAGCGACAATGCATGGTTAGCTTCTTTTAGACTATAGTTACATTCTCTCTTGGATACAGTCGATTGAAAAACAATAATATTAGGAACGAACAGATGTATTCAGTTTCTCCCTGCTGAATAATATGTCAGTTGTATGCAATCCATCACAGGGAACTGGGTTTTATTTCTTAGAAAGAAAGAACTCAGAATCTCTGGCCCGCAATGATTGATTTGAAGGAGTCATAACGGACTGTCTTTTTCTTCTCTTTTTTGTTTCCTTTTTATTAAATATATGAATGTCAGACTTTCAGGTTGGGGAAAGCGGTCGATCAAAGGGCTGCCATACATCGCACAGATAACGAAGGTAGTTAGTCGGCAACTAAGTACTGGATGTATCAGCTCCCGTTGATTGCTATAGTGATATATATATAT